GAAGGACGTGCGCCTCAGCAACATCATGGCCGCGAAGGCCATCGCCGACGCCATCCGCACGTCCCTGGGCCCCCGGGGCATGGACAAGATGATCCAGAAGGGCGACGGCGAGGTGCTCATCACGAACGACGGCGCGACGATACTGTCGACGATGGAGGTGGGCCACCCGACGGCGAAGATGCTCGTCGAGCTCTCCAAGTCGCAGGACGTCGAAGCGGGCGACGGGACGACGTCCGCGCGCGCCGGGGCCGCGCGCGGGTGGTTCGAGGTCGCCCCGCGTCGGGGCGCCCCGCGGGACGATCGCTCGTCCGGCGCGAGCCGAATCGAGCGGCGCGCGGCCGAGGCGGGCGGCTCCGACGCCGGGACGCGCCCACCCTCGCGCCGCCCAGGTGTGCGTCCTCGCGGGCGCGCTCCTCGACGCGTGCCACCAGCTCCTCGCCAAGGGCCTCCACCCGACGACGATCGCCGAGGCGTTCGTCCGCGCGAACGCCGAGTGCGGCGCGATCCTCCGCCGCGTCGCCGGCGGCGTCCGCGCGCGCGCGCGCGCGCGCGCCGGCGCGACGGCGGCGCGCCGAGCCCGCGCGCGGCGCAGGTCGCCGAGCCCGTGGACCTCGGCGACCGCGCGACGCTCGCCGACGCCCGGGCGGGACACGACGAGCGTCCGCGCGACTTCACCATGCGACGTTCGCACGACGTCGACGCGCGTCTTTCACCTCTCGAAAAGAACGCGCCGGAGAGGACGCGATCCGTCCGAGCGTCGGCCGAAACGACGTCGACGCGGCCGAGCTCGAGAGGCGCGAAGCTTCGCCGGACGGGGCCGGTCCACCGGTCGTTCCCGGCGCAGGTCGACGCCGTCGCGACGTGCCTCTCGTCCAAGGTCATCGCGCAGAACTCGGACGCGCTCGCGCCGCTCGCCGTCGACGCCGTGCTCGGAGTCGTCGACGCCGCGGCCGCCGCGACCGTCGACCTCGACCGCGTCAAGATCGTCAAGCAGGTCGGCGGCACCGTCGACGACACGGAGCTCGTCGACGGCATCGTCTTCGCCCAGGGCGCGAAGAAGGCCGCGGGCGGGCCGACGCCGGGGCGGCACGAGAGGGCGACATTCCCGACGTCACAAGGCTCCCCTCTCGGCCCATGTCCACTCGTTTCGGCCGATTTTTGGACGAGCGATCATCTCTCGGAACGGTCTCGACGCGTGGATGCCGTTTCCGGCGCGCGCGCGCGCGAAGCGCTCGCGTCGAAGCGACGTCGAATCGCCCTCGCGCCGCCCAGGCCGACGCGCGTCGCGAACGCGAAGATCGGCCTCATCCAGTTCTGCCTCTCGGCGCCCAAGACGGACATGGAGAACAGCGTCGTCGTCTCGGACTACGCGGCCATGGACCGCCTCCTCCGCGAGGAGCGGAAGCACGTCCTCGGGCGCCGCGCCGGCGCGCCGCGGCCGGCCGCGCGCGCCGGCGCGACGGCGGCCCCGCGCGCAGGCTCTGCAAGAAGGTCAAGAAGGCGGGCGTCACGGTGCTCCTCATCCAGAAGTCGATCCTCCGCGACGCCTACAACGACCTCAGCCTCCACTTCCTCGCGAAGATGGGCATCCTCGTCGTCGCCGACGTCGCGCCCCGCGCGGCGTTCGACCGCCGGTCGGGGCGGTCCCGACCGCGCTTCGGAACGCTCGAGCTCGGCCGAATCGAAGCCGATCCGGCTCGTTTCCGGACGAGTCGTCGGCGCTCGAACGTCCGCGTCGAAACGGTCCGATACGACCGGTCGGGTCGAAGATTTGAATTCCGCGTCGCGCGCGCGGCGGCGGGCGCGGCGCGGCGGGGAGCGGCGCCGTCCGCCCGCCGGGGCGTCGCCGGCGCGGCCGAGCTCCGGAGGATCGACGGTAGGTGGAGAGGGGCGACGTCGCGTACATCGCCGATACGCTCGGCCTGTTGCCCGTCGCGCGCGGGGCC